GTCAGAGAAAAACTAGGGGAGATCTTACGCATGCTCGCTGGCAGCTCTGCCCCATGGTGGGAGTACACCTGCTGTGCCTGGGTCCTTTCTTCTCTCTGCTTTCAGCAGCGGGGGCTGGGAATCCTGGAGAAAAGCAAAGCCCAGAGGAGGCAGTGTCAGGCCTTCGTTAGCCTCGCTCATATCTTCACCAGTGGGGAGTCTAAACACCAGATACTGAGGACCATGGGCAGAGTGGAGGAGACCCCTGTTTGCAGAAGGATCTGTAATCCCAAGTAAAATGTCATGAGGTTTCAAGGTTTCTGGCAGGACATTATTCTTTTTTATTTAATTTAATTTTATTAGTTTCAAGTGTACAGTACATTGGTTAGACATGTATATAGTTTATAAAACGATCTCCTTAATTGCTCTTTCTCTCCTCTAGATCTCCTCCTAGCCATTCTGTTAATGCTAACTGCATTCCCTAGAGAATGAGGTAAAGGGTTAAGGAAGTACAAATTAGTAGTCTATAGATGGTCACGGGGATGGGGAGCACACATAGGACATTATTGTTGAAGAAATTCCCTGGAGCCTGTTTGTAGGTGGTGCCTCATCACCCACTAAAGCCTCCTCCGCTTAAAATGACATCTAAAAAGGGGTAGTACTTTGGGAAGGAAATCAAATAGAAATGGAAATTAGGTTATCTGATCATAAATTCCTAACTGGGCAGGTCAAGGTGGGTAGGTAGCCCAGCCCCAGGCCTACAACTTCCTTAGTGAAAGATTTTAAGCCAACAATGTCCATTGTTCTTGTGCATCTAGATTAACGTACCTTTGAAATACCAGAAGCAATACTCCTCCAGGGAACATTAACCCTCACAGAGCACACAATCTTGTTGACTATCCTGTAATCCAATCCTTATCTTGCTTTCTCCAGTCCTCCATATGTCCCCTTCTTAATTTCAAATGCATGAAAGAAGCGGCAAAACTGTTATTCTTTGGAGCATTTGAGACCTTGCTCCCTGGTATATGCTGTCAGTTTGGCTCAACTAAACTCTCATAAAAATTCCAAAAAAGTAGACATTAGCCAAGACAGTTTCAAAAGGCCAAAACTTAAGAAGTATGATCTTCATCACAGAGTCATTCTTTCCACTTAATTGAAACAGGATAGGGAGGCTCTCTGAGTAAGAATTTCTTTTCTTTTTTTATTTTTATTTTTATTTCTTTTAGGCAAGGCAACCCTTGGTTGGCCTCACAGATTGAAAGGACCTTGTCAGCTTACAATCTCTTATTATTTTTTTATTTTTACGCCTACAGCACCTGGTCTTCCTAGGTGGTCTCCCATCCAAGTACTAACCAGGCCCGACCCTGCTTAGCTTCCGAGATCATACGAGATTGGGCTTGTTAAAAATTTCTTTTCTAATTATAAAAGCAATATGAACTTATTGCCAAAGAAGTCAGAAAATACAAGCTCATAATTTAAAAATTAAAATCACCTTTACTATTGTAGAAATAATGTCTGTTAACATTTTGGTATATATCCTTCCTGATATTTTTTCTCCAGATAACTACATAACAATAGCAATGCAAAAATGGAAACGTGCTTTTTTTAAATGTACTTTTAAATTTTTTCTTTTAAAATCGACTATCTATGGAATACTATACTATAAAAATCTTTTCATGTCAATAAATATAGATCTTATTAATTTTATTGGTTACACTGGATAGAGACTATAATTCATACATAGAAAGGCTAACTTAAGAGTCCCTATTCAATAAATGTCAGATATCCTATGTCAAAATTCATTGGAATTTTATTAAGTCTCTACCATATCCTGAGCAGCTCACAGATGTTATGTGATTTGCCTAACAATTAGTGTGTTGCAGCAAATCCTCCCTAGTGTTTAAGGACTTTTCAGCTCTAAGAGAGTAAGCCAAGAGTCCAGCCTTCTAACACTGGCATAATGCTGGGCACCCAGCCACAGAATCCCAACGGCTCGGGCTGGGTGAATTCCGCCAGAGTTGGTCTTGGCAGGATACCTGTCACCCCTAACATCCCAAACCCTCTCTGTTCCAGCTCAAAGGCATAAACAAAATTTTCAGGAGGTTTTGTTATTTGTTTACATAAACAAAATTTGATTTAAAGCTCACACGTAACCCTTTCATTCCATGGGGTTCTGGAAGAGAGGAGACACAGAACTTGGCTGTTATATATTCTTCGGGGAACTTAACAAATATCGGTTCTGGTCTTCCATTTACTTGTAATCTCACACCCTCCGCAATCAGAGGAAAATCTCCCAGGGTGCAGGGACATAGTAGGTGTTCGATGCAGCCTAGAGGTTAACACAGGCATTGAACGTAGCCTCCAGCTGCTTGGTTTGAAGCCCTACTCAGCCACAGAATAGCTTTGACTCTGAAAAGTTTCTTCAACTTCAGTTTCTTCAATTGTAAAATGGGGATAATAACAATAACACAATAGAGCCGCATAGGAATATGAGGTGTGTGTATGTAAACAGAACACTTAGAATAGTGCTTGGCACCTGGTGAGTACTCAATGTATGTTACCTAACAATTATTATTGTTGACTGATTACTGATTTACTGAAATTAAAAATAGTTGTGAAAGCAAAAAGAGCTCTTACTAAGTGCCATAGTTTCTAATTGAAGGTACAATCTATTCAGAGATGGTTTAAAACAGTGGGTCCACAGGAAGTGCACAAGACAATTTGTTGGAGGGAAGACAACATCAGAAGTTTTATTTATGACTTTTTAAATTCTCACCCTGTAACTTTTGTTAGCTATTCTTTATAATGTATACATTATTTTAGTATATTACTAAATGTATACATTTTTAAATCGAGCTATAATTTACATACCAAAAGAGTCACCTTTTAAAGTATGCATATAATTCAGTAGTTTTTAGTATATTCATAAGGTTGTGCAACCATCTCTACTATCTAATTCCAAAACATTTTCATCACCCCCCAAAAGAAACTCTGTACCTATAGCAGTCACTTCCCCACTCGCTCCTCCTTCCACCCCCTAATCTACTTTATTTCTCTATGAATTTACCTATTCTGGACATTGCATGTATGTGGAATCATAAATGTATATACGTAATTCTGCACCTGCCCAGTGAGACACCTCCCACCTGACCTGCTTCGTGTGTGGACTTTTGCACCGACTCCCTCAGAAAAGGAGTACTGGACATCACCTTGCTGCCAGTCGGTGGTTCCCATCTTAGAGCCTTGCAGGCAGACTGGGGCCAAATGCGGCCTGCAGCAGTCTTTGAATCTGAAGGTTTAGTAGAATCGTGGAACACTCCTGATGGGTGTTGCAGATTAAGTAATACAGATTAAGATCCTGGCATACAGTAAGTACTTAATAAGTGACAACTATAAGTACTAAATAAATAGCTATTATTATTATTAGAGCTGTGTTTTAATTTATCTACACTTATCGACTGATGGTGAGTAAGAGATGATTCTAACTCTGAGAAGCTCAGGTGAAGATATCAGGCTGCTAAATAAAGCCTCATTATGAAACATGAAAAAACACCTCTGTAATTCTCAAAGGAGAATTTATATAAATGTTCATTCAATAAGTATTTATTTGATACCAGCTGCATGCCAATCTCAGGATTTGATGTTAAGAATATTACCGTGGTTAAGATAGACATGGTCCCTGCCCTTGCAGAGCTTATAACAATTAAAGAACAATATAGTGCATTGTGATGGGAGAAGAGTGGGGAACTACATTATGAATTGTATATATATGGGAACCCAAGAAGGTTCGTCAGAGTAAGAACACTAGCCATTGGCTCATGGCCCAGAATCCTGGCTTGGATAAAGATTGAAGCCCTGGCACTCGCCTTCTCCTCTGCTCACTGCACACATGATAGAAGTTGCAACCGTGGACATGCCTCTCTGTATCCATTCTCTTGGGTAGTTCCTACCCACAATGACCTGAGTTTGGCCAATGACTTGTTTTGGCCATTTGGACAACAGCAAATGTGTCACAAGAAAAACTAGAAAAGTGCTTATGCATGGGGGGCTTACTCTCTCTTGCTGTTCTTGGGACCTTTGCCGCTGCTGCCATGGGAAGAAGCCCCAGATAGCCTGCTGGATGATAAGAAGTACAATGGGGCAGAAATGAGCCATCTCAGCTGAACATCTTAGGCCTGCCAGCCCCCAGCCAACCAGGGAGCTGACAGAGATGCAGAAGTGAGCCTGAGACCAGCTGGCTAAGATCTGTGGAACCACTGTGATACTGTGATTTATAATGAGAAATAGATATTTGGTCTTTGTTCCCATTCCTAGCACACAGCTCCTAAAATCCTTGTGATTTGCTAAGTGATAAAAGCAATGAGAGAATCTTTTATTGTAATAAATATTATTACTTATCATTGTTATATATCTATATGTATTATATTATTTTATTATTTTGTCCTTACATAGCTCCAGTTCCTAAAATAATTCCAGCATGATAAAGGTGAAAGAAGTATCTTGTTATTCATAATAAGCCCTTTTCTTTCTTTCTTTTTCTTTTTCTTTCTTCCTTTTTTTTTTTATTTAGGTAAAATTGATATAAAACATTATATAAGTTTCAGGTGTACAACATTATAATTTGACATCTGTATACACTACAAAGTGATCTCCACCAAAAGTCTAGTCACCATCCATTACCACAGAGGTGACCCCCTCACCTATTTGGCCTCCTTGCCCCCTTTTCTCTTGTAACCACTAATTCGTTCTTTATATCTGTGAGTTTGTTTCTGTTTTTTCTTGTTTTTCAGATTCCACATGAATGAAATCATATCGTATTTGTCTTTCTCCTGACTTATTTCACTTAGCATAATACTCTCAAGATTCATCCATGTTTTAAATAGCAAGATTTTCTTTTATTTGTCTGAGTAGTATTCCATCTAGGCCCGGGTCCACCACTTGCTACCTAGATGTTCTCAGGGATGATGCTTAACCTGCCAAGCCTCAATGTCACTTGATAACAAACACTCTCCTTTCTGCCTCACAGGATCATTGTGAAGATCACACACAGCTACTTTTATCCCTGAAGGGAGCTATTAGCATGACCTGAATGGAAGCTGGGAGTAATGAGACTTTGTTGCACACTAATCATTAATAATGTCACAAGAAGTAAGAGTTACAGTCACAGAGCACTAACTGTGCATTGAATTTTTGTACATTTTCTCATTTGATCCTGGTAACACCATTACAAAGGGGTTACTATGATCCTATTTTATAGGTGAGGATGCTGACATCCAGAGGGGTACTGGAACTTGCCCAAGGTCACACAGCAGAAGATGAGTAGACAAGCGTGGGCTCAGATCTTATGGACTCCAGAGTCCATTTTTTTTTTCCCCCACTGCACATGCTGTCTCTCCTCTAGACTCTGCGTAATGTCATCCATTCCTTCTAGACCCTCAGCTCCAGAATGCTGGAGTGGAGTAAACCACATGCTCCCTCTTCAAGGAGAGACTATAGAAGCCCTGCTACTCACTAGTATTCAAAGCAGTTTATCAACAAAGTCCACATGCATTCTTGCCTTCTTTTCTGATACCCAGCCAGCTTCCCAAGTCTAGTTCAAACACTATTCTGGATCACCAAAGCAACCTTACAGAGAATAAATTTTACATCTTTCCCACTGGCACTTATTTCTTAATGTCCCCATGGATCCATTGTATAACAAGAGAAGACTGAGCTATCATCTCCTTCTTCCGTAGCTCACTATCTGCTGTTACCCAGGAGACAGGAATAGAGGGGAAAAAGGAGCCCTCCAGACTGGCCCAGAGCACTTTGAAGGTCATTTAAAGTAGCTTTGCTTTTTCTCAAAAAATTGCTTGGTCTAGAATTTATATAGAAATTGGTGGCATTTCCACTGGCCCGCCACAGTTCCATTTTGCACACCCTACTTTATGTTGGGAGTTTGCATTCCCCTGTCACTCCATTACCCTGGGAGCCCATTGGTCCTCTCTCTGGGACTCACACAGATCTCTAGAGAACTCTCCTCCAAATCTAAAGCATCTATATAAACCAAGTGCCATCCTTCCCCCAAAAGCTGGCACAGGCACCATCATAACACAATTACAAAATAGATTCTTCATTTCTCATGTCATTTACCTAAATTTAGAGATCCTAATGTCCAGCATTTTAATAACAGAAATATCCAAAATTCATTTGCATCTGCTAATGGCTGGACTCCTTGTTCATTTCCAGCTATGCTTTATTTGTACTGGTTTAGTGTCTTTTTCAGAGAGCATGCACTCCCTAATCAATCAACTTCCAATCTTTCCCTTAAGCCAGGAGTCCCCAGCCCTTGGGCCATAGGCCAGTACTGGTCCATGGCCTGTTAGGAACCAGACCATACAGCAGGAGGTGAGCAACAGGCGGGCAAGCAAAGCTTCATCTGTATTTGCAGACACTCCCCAGAGCTAGCATCACCACCTCAGCTCCACCTCAGATCATCAGGCATTAGATTCTCATAGAAGCACCAGTCCCTGGTGCCAAAAATGTTGGAGACCACGCCTTAAGCAACTCACTTGGAGGTAATTATAACGAGCATTTATCGAGTGCTTATTATTTGTCAGGCACTACTAAAACTCAAGGCATTAATTTATAAGAACCTCTCCATAAGTAATATCATCTCATTTTACAGATAAAGAAACTGACACTCGAAGAGGTCAAGTAACTTTCCAAAGTCGTACAGCCGGTGAGTAGCAAAGCTGAGATTCGAAATCAGGCTGGCTCCAGCTCCGGTACTCCCAATCACTGTACTACTCACTCACTCAACAACATAGCATCAATTCAGACACCAAGGTTAATAGAGAAGGGCAAATAAGTAATTAGAGAAAAGAGGCCTTTTACAACTTATCAAACTATGATAAATACCAGCACAAAATTTGCCTTTAAAAAAAAATCACACTAAACATTAGCCTAGTTACTTTAAACAAAAGGACCTAATTGATAGCTAGGTGTAGAGCCAAAGGAGAAAAAGAGTAATCAGGGAGATCATTTCATAAACTATATAAATGTCTAACTAATGGACCATATACTTGAAACTAATAATAAAATAAAATAAAATTCGATTAAATGAAAAGGATCTAACTGGAGTGAGTCTTTGTCCAGTTCCAAATCACTGTGTAACCCTGGGAAAGTGTTTGTTCATCTCCAGGCCTCGTCAGTAAAATAAGTGGGTTTAAACTCCAGGATCCACCTTTTGAGATCATGTGACTTGGGTATCTCTTCATTCATCTTATTTTACAGAGGACAAGAAGCTATCTAATGCAAAAGGCCAGGGAGGATCTGGCTCAGGGAGGAGGAACATCACTGTGGCTTAGCCACCCACTCACTAACCTTGAGATGACTTGAGACACCTCGGCTGGCTCCTTACTCGGTCTCACTCTCATTTTCCCAATGTGCTATCCTTGCAACCCAACTGTAGATTCTTGGCACAAAGCAGATGTTGGTGGGTGTCTTGGGTCTTTTCTTCCTCAGGAACAATGCTCTGAGTTAACAATTCTTTAGTTGGTTAGTTGGAGTCCTGAGAACAGAAAGGGACAAAAGATGCATTTTTTTATATCAAGAGCCACCAAAGGACTGGAAAGGGGAGAGCCTGCGCTGGCATCCTGTGAAGGAAGGGCACAGGTCTTGAGTTTCCAGAAGAGAGTATGTTATTGCAATTTTGTTGGCAGGTGTGGGGCACTTGGATGCCCTTGAATTCAGACAATGCTTTAGCGTTATGAAGTTCTTTGTCCCACTGGGACCTCATAGAAACTTTGGATTGGGGGGAGGACAGATATGGTGATAATGGTGAAGAGGATAATAAAGATGATGATGACAATGGTAGCTCGTGTGCATTGAGCCCTCACGTGTGCCAGGCACTGTACTAAAAAATTCCCGCACATGGGCTCCGGAAGATTCCCAGCCTCAGAAAGTAGAAACCATTTCCTTATGCCCAGGGAGGCCAAAGTTTAGCAAAGCCAAGTCACATGCTCATGGAAATGCAGCAGTAGCAGAGTCAGGTTTTGAACTCGGTTCTCTCCTATCTTGTGGCTTTAGCCCTTTATTTTATGGGTGCAGTAGCTGAGGCTTAGAGGTAGCAAGTAGCTCAGAGCTAGTAACACCAACCCAGGTTTTAAAATCTGGAGAAATGAAATGCCCAAGTTGGTAGAAAAAAATAGGGAAGTTGCTAGACAGCTGGGGTAGACCTGAGCCAAACGTCCCAGTGAATGTCCCAGGCCACCTCCTTTCTTCCTCCCCACTTCCTAAGGTGCTTCTCTAAGGACAAAAATCCCTGTTCTTCCACTCTCTTCCACAGTCCTGGGGTGACCCACTACCATTCCCCCACCCGACCACCTCACCTCTTTTCTACTGTTCTTAAATCCTACCCTGTGGAGCTTACAGTCTCTGGGGGAGGGAGATATGAATTAAGAAATTACATGAATTAACAATTATGAACTGAATTGTGTGTGATAATTATCATAAAGTATAGGGAGCCATGATATGTAATCCTGGGAGTTCATGGAAGGTTTCCTAGAGGGAGAGACTTTGGATCTGGGATGCATTGTTCTGAGTCAGTGTTCTCTTTGGAGGCACCTAAGGCAGGGACAAATGAGCCTGGATTAAAGAGGAGGAAATGTTGGGAAAGGAGGAGGATGTGCCCTAATATTTATTAATTTGCCACCTCCGGTAATTTGGGCCATACTGAAAGTGGGCTGGCTTGAGTCTCTATCCTCTAGGCAACGGTTCTCAAAGTGTGGTCCCTGACAGTGGCAAAAGCATTACCTGGGAATTTGTTACAAATGCACATTCTCAGGGTCCACCCTAGACCTACCAAACTGAAAACTTTGGGGTGAAGCCAACAATATGGGCTTATCAAGCCCTCCTGAACATTCTGCGACCAGCTAAAGTTGAGAGACATATTCTAGATTCCTATAGTCAAGTGAATTCACTCATCAAAAATATAATAAAAATGATCCTGGTGCTCTCCCATTCTCTCTTGTTCTCCACATGGAAGAGAAATTCACAGATGCCATTCTGAGAGAAGGCCTAACAGGGGTCTGCAGCTGAAGAGAGACATGGGACAAGTTATTTGACGGGATGGGGGATAAAATACAATGATTTTAGGGATGTGGTTCCATAATGTAGCAGTTAGCACATCTGCTTTGCACGCAGAAGGTCCTAGATTCGTGCCCCAATGGAGCCAAAGTCCATGGTCTATGGTCATGCCACCCTGAACAAGCCCAATGTCTGATCTTGGAACCTAAGCAGGGTCGGGCCTGGTTAGCACTTGGATGAGAGACCACGTAGGAGGACCAGGTGCTGTAGGCATAAATAATAAAAAAAAATTTTAAAAAATACAATGATTTAAGCAATTCAGAGATTAATTGCTCAAGGGTTGAGACTCTAGGAGCTAAAAGCATATTTTTTAAGTGTTGAAAGGAACTAAGCACATAATATTCCATTCTCACCCCATCAAAAACAAGACCCAGTAGGTAGTATCTTGCCCTTCAAAGCAGCCTTTTCCAGTGTTGGCCGGTTATGTCTAAGAAATCTGCCTTCCTCTGATTTCCTTCCACTGGCTTTGGTTCTCAGGATTCTTGAAGAAAATCCTTCCTCCTTCCCCACAACCTCCCAAGGGTGACAATCACACTTATCTACAGTTCCTCGTGAAGAGACAATCACTGACCAACCAAAGTATAAGAGAAGACCCTGGACTTTTAAATGCTTTTATTAAAGCAAGGTGAAGGTCATAGAAACTTCAAGCACATGTGCCCTTCAGCTGGGCCTGCTGACATGCGGGCGGCTTTGCAAATTAGTTCACACTCTGAAGAAAGTTAAGTCAAGGTCACAAGGATCTGATCCTAACTCTGACCCAGGCCTCCCTGGCTCACTGACACCTCTCCTACATGGTTTCTATTAAGTCCTGCTTTCATGGTTTGGCTGGTGAGGAAGATATTTTGTGAGATTCTATTTAAACTGTCAATGTTTTTCATCTGTATTAACTACTTCACAACACAAGATCTACTTAGCTACTGAAGGAAACAACCCTCAGAACATGTTTCTTGTGTCATCCAACAGACTGTATGTTTATGCACACATTTATTCGACCATTCTGCATATCTAATCCCAGTCTACCCTCCTTAGTCTACCTGCAATTGGGCAATACTCAATTTCTTCTTCAATTGAAAAACTAAAGTCAACCTTAGACAAGTTCTACTCCAAAGAACATGCTAAAAAAAAAAAAGACTCAACTCAGAGAAAATAAATTGTGGCAAAGTATAAAAGAGCAGTTTAAATTCTCATTCTAATTTGTATTCTTATGCTCTCCCACCATCCTCTCTCAACACGAAGAGAGATGATTAGCCCATTTCCAAGAGTGCCAGATTGAAGACCAGGAAGAAATGCAACACAGGAACATGCCTCTCAGCCTCCTCATCTCACAATCAGTCAGTGTCCACCAGGTCTGGGAAGGCTCTTGGAGACACCACATTGGGAAATGACATCAGCCCTTGAGTGATATAACAGGGAACCTAATCAACCAAATCAAATCATCAAAAGAAACTTACTATGAACTGAGGCTGTGACACTTCTTGCTGTAAAGATGGCTTTAGAGAGTCACAGAGAGATAAAAGCTCACTCCTCTGAGGCTGGAATCACAACTTCTCTATGTTCTTGATGATGTCAGACAAAAATGTGACCACATGTTCTTTAACTGGCTTTCCACCAACAGAGAGAGAGCTCATCTGCCCACCACCTTGTAACAACTGGAGCCAAATCTTTCATTTTTACCACAACAGTCCATTGAATTCAAGCCTCTTCACAGAGGAAGCAAAGACTTCCTAATCTCAAGCAAAAAATGCCAGCTATGTGCTCCCACAGGGTTCCAGTCCACTGGAGGCACAGGGCATCAGGGCTATCACAATAACCTCCCAGCTGATCTACAAGTCAATTCTCCTTTGTGCAAAACTTCAGACGCCATCCAATAGTTCTGATCCAAGCTTCAGTCTCAGGACAATCCGCCCTGTCCTTGCCCCAGGAGAATTCCCTGACCTCACAGGCAGACTCAGAAATCTGGATAGACTAGAATCTGAGGCCCAGAGACTAACCACATACCTCTAGTTCTTTTTGAGAGGAGAGAGAGATTTCCAGTTTGCTCCAGTGAGTGCTGCCTTCTATGTACCAAACACAGCAGGCAAAGGGTATGGGTAATAGGAGGTGGGTGGGGGGCAGATGTGAGAGGTAGAGTGCAACTATGAATCCCTCAAAGAGCTGATAGACAAAACACAGATTAAACACACGTATACCCATGATAAGCAAGCCAAGCAGCCATAATGTGAGCAGTTAGTACTTTATAGTAAGTGCTTTAGGTGTCAGAGGAAATGTGGGGTAGTTTTGAGAACATGAATATGACCTAGGATGCTGGCTAACCTGTCAGTTTCCCTGGGAAATGTCAATCTCCTTTTCTCTGCCCCCTCAGCCCTAATCCCACCATCATATTTATTTTTGTGCCCAGCCCTGTCTTCTGTCCCTCCACAGTTTCACTATAAAGCAAACTTTTTATCGGCACTGGGATACTTTGTGAATAACATTTGATTTAGGCTTATAAGAAGTTATAAAGAAACAAAAGATGATGTAAATCATAATGATTGTGGGTAAAAAAAAAAAAGCATTCTGTGGAAAGCAATCTCACAGGTAATCTGATCATAAATTCCTAACTGGGCAGGTCATGGTGGGTAGTCACACCCCAGGCCTACAACTTTCTTAGTGAAAGGCTTTAAGCCAGCCCTGTCCATTGATTTTGTGCATCTAGGTTAACACACTTTTGAAATACCAGAAGCAACACCCTTCCAAGAGGGTATTAACCCTCAAGAGAACACATAATCTTGTTAACTATCCTGTAATCCAATCCTTATCTTGTTTTCTCCGATCTTCCATATGTCCCCTCCTTAATTTCAAATGCATAAAAGAAGCTGCAAAACGGTTATTCTCTGGAGGCTTTGAGACCTTGCTCTCTAGCTTATATCATCAGCCTGGCTCAAATAAACTCTTATAAAAATTCTCTGCAGGTTTAAACATTTCTTATGTTAACATTGTTAAACCAAAAAAGCTAGGAACAGAGTAAGGTATAGAATAGAATTCCATTTTATTACCACCGTCACAAACAAAAACAACTATATCTATGTGTGTCAATTGGGCAATATGAAATGGCTGTTTTTGTAGGTGAAAAATGATGTAGTTTAGAGAATAACATAATAAATAACACGAGTTATTGAAAATCTGTTCCTGCCTCTTTCTGAATATAACCTGAGATAATACCTCTGCCCCTTCAATAGGGGCAAGAATATTTCAGACCCCAGTACAGGGGTCCATGGACTAACATCAAGCATAAGTCTGACTTAGGTAAAGAGCTAGGAAAGCAGATGAGGCCTGACTAGCCTCTGGCATCGCTCACCCATCCCAAGGTCTGGTAGATGATAATCCAGTGAGATGTTTCCTCCAGAGAGTGCTTCTCCCTAAGAGACTAAAGGCCAATCCCTAAAACTCTGACCAAGGGAAATACCCAGGACTAACAGGAATGTTTAACTGTGGATTTGAGGGGCCCAAGACTCTCCATCCTAGAGCTCTACCTCTCTCAGAATGAACTTACTGGGACTGACTCACTAAGGCCTAGCCTTAGGCTCTGACCCAATACACATTCCAAGAGAGAATAGTGGGTAATCCTTGGGTGACTTATAAATTCACCAGGGAAAACTAACTAGATATCTGAGGAATAAAACTATCTGAAAAGAACATCAACAAACATGGGAACACATAACATTTGAATCAGAAATATTAGAAGAGGCAGACTGAGAATATAAAATAAGGATGATAGTTATACTTAATGAGATAAAGGAGAATAACATGAAATAAGATTTAAATTATAAAAAGCTAGAAATATTATATATGAAAAACATAATATAGATAGTTGAAAAAAATAACATAATAGAAAATTAGGCAAATATCTCTTTCTAGGTAGAATGCAAAAAACACAAGCCATTAAAGAAAAAAATAATAAATTAGACTTCATCAAAATTAAAAACATTTTCTCTTTGCAATACACTGTTAGGAAAGTAAAAGGCAAAAATATAATGGATGGGTACATCTATTAGAATGGATACAGCTAAAGAATGAATTGCTAAATTGGAAGATCAAATTTAGGAACTCTCACAGTAAGCAGTGTGGAGAGAAAAAGAAATAGAAAAGTTAAACAGTGTGGGGGATAGAAATAGAAGTGTTAATCTCTGGATAACAGGAGTTATAGAAATAGAGAAAAATAAAAAGAAAAATAGAAAGCATTTGAAGTAAAAACAAATGACCTCAAAATTGAAAGAAGCGTAGTGTACCAAACAAGAGGTATAAGGGAAAATCCACCCCACATTATAAAATATCATGAACAAACAAAGAAAATTCTAAAGGCTTCTAGAGATGGCAGACCACTCAAAAAGGAACAAGAATCAGGATGACATTAGGCTTCTCAACGGCAACAATGAGGTAAGAAAACAATGAAGTAATATATCTAATGAGTTTAAGGAAAAGATTCTTGAATCTAGAATTTTATATCCAACCAAATTATCACTCAAATATAAGGGTATAATAATATTTTCAGGTATATAAATACTCAGTTTGCCAATAAAGGCTCTCCTTGAAAAGACTTTTGGAGAAAATAGTCAAATAAGTGAAAGTTTATATATAATAACACAGAAGTAAAATTGTAGACAATGTCAACATGATGCTCTATAGGGTTAGGAGAGACCAAAGTCCATGGGATCATGCTAAAATACTTGCCTTCTGTGGGAGAAGATATATCTATCAAGCTACCACCCCCAGTCCCCCAAAAAAGGGAAGAAAGGAAAAAACGGAAAATTTTCAAGGAGATTTTAACACATTTTAAGAGGACATTTAAACACACTTCTCTCTGTTGTTAGATCAAACAGACGAAATCAAAAAAGTGTTTTTTTTTTTTTAATGGAAAATATTAAAGAAGACCTAAATCAATGGCGAGACATCCCATGTTAAAGGCTGGGAAGAAAAAACTTCTCAAAGAGATCATTGCCCCCTAACCCCCACCAAATCAATCTACAAATGCAATGCAACATCACTACAATTACCAATAGGGTTTGCTTTTGTTTTTTTTTGGAATTTAGTAAACTGTCATGTCATCAGTGGAAAAAGGAGGGACTGTTTAGGAAACAGCTTGCAAAACTACCTATATGCGGGGGAATGAAATTGGTTTCTAACTCAAACCACAGATAAAAATCATCTCCCCTGGACTAAGAACTAAATATCAATAACAAAACTAAAAATTTTTAGAAGACAATACTGTTAAAATCTTTCTGACCTTGAGGGTAAGGAAGGTTGGTTAAACAAGACACACACACACAAAATGCTTACTTTTTAAAAAAGATCGAGAATGTTGACAATATTAAATTAAGAACTATGTTAATCAAAACCTTAAAGAAAATGAAAACATGAGCTATAAATGAGAAGATATTTGAAATGCCTAAATTCGACAAAGGACTGGATCCATAATATATAAAGAACTCCTATAATTCAACAAAAAAGGAATAAATAGCTCAATCTAAAAATAGGCAAAAGCCATGAACAAAGAATGTCACAGAAGAAGGAAAACAATTAAGTCTGTTCCAGACATTGACCTTGAGTTAATGGTGTTTTGACCTTGAGTTCCTTTGTCCATTGTTAATTGGACCATTCTATACATCAGCCAAAACAGAGAGAGTGAGGCAGCAGCTGCAGCAATTTTGAGAGCAGTTGAGATGAGTGAGAAGCCAGCTGGAGCAGGAATTAGAGGAGTAACCGGAGGACATAGCATTTTCTTCAGGAATTGTTGAAATATTAGGGTGGGAGACTGGCCTTTCTACAGTATGTGGGATGGAGAAGTGAACCATTTTATTTGAGAATTAAACTTGGGAACATCTACTTAATCTTAGAACATACTTTGAGAAAGCCTGCTCTAGACCATGCTACCTACCATAGCAGTGACTCAATAGAAACTGAGCCACATATAGACTATGATGTGAATGACAGCCCCTGGAATTGTCCTTGTAATGTTAGGGCATCCCTGCTCTTCAGGCCAATCCCCCAAACCATTGCCAATGACCTACCTTTCTCTCTATCTCTTTTTCTTTCTCATATTTTAAAAAAACAACAGCAACAACAACGAAGATTTTAAGGTACTTCACTTTCTCCCCAGCTTCATTTTTTCCCTGGCTGGACCAGAAAAGAATTCAACTCTTCTACTCTAATTGCTCCTCTTAGTTCATTCCAAATATGAGCTACCAAATCTCTCTATTATTATGTAACTTCTCTCAAGACCTCTCTTTCCTCTAAGAAAATTTGGTTCGCCAGGAGTTTCAACTGTGAAACAGCAAGAGAGGAAATATCAAGACAGCGGGTTGGAGGGAAGTGGGTATGAGAAATTCATTTCCCCTAATTGGCATTCGTTAGCCATTCACATGTCTGGAAAATAGTCTTGGAAGGATCTCAATGTTGATGTTCAAGTTGCTCATACTAGTGATAAGATGGGTCCCCTAACAACAGCAACAACTGTAACGTGACCACCTTACATATGCGCACGTGGCTTATAGCTTATCCACATGTCTATATACGTAGCTTGTGTAGTTCACAAAACTTTGTTAGGCTCTTATATTACTGTCCTTTCTCACATGAGGCTCAGGAAGTATGCTCAATTCTTCTAAGTACAAACCACACTGGCTCTCTGCCATTTAAGTTGCTATCCCTAAAGTGTCAAGTCTATTAGGACATTTCGATCAGGGATTATTAACCTGGGCCCCAAGGGGAAACCCCTCCTTGGGTGGAGCCTATAAACATCTTTGGGAAAAAGTTATACTTTTACTTTCATTCACCTCTAATTGAAATTTAGCATTTCCTTTGATTATGAATTTGGGCAATAATAGAGCCACAGCAACTGTGACTTTGTCTTCAGGTGAAATCACAGACGTTTTCATATCTGTGTTGTTGCAAATGTCTCAAAAAATCTGTTTTTATATATCAGGACTTCAAAATTATGGTTATATTAGGTTCTTACTGAACCTTGTCATAGAATGCATTACAAACTAAGCACATATATTACTATATCACTTTAATATTCTAAAAACCGTAATTCAATACCATTGGCTTCCTTTGTAATCCTATGCATTTTATGCATTTAAAAACATTATTCTGTGAGAAGATCCATAGGTTTCACATAATTTCCAAAAAGGTTTATGATGTATATGCACACACGAACATGTGTGCATGCGTACACACACACACACATATACACACACACAGGGTGAGAGCTCCTGATCAAAAGGATGCAGGACATGGTTAGGAATTGTGTCTTCATCTTGTTTCTGATTACCATGTTGTATTGCAAATATTTTATATATCTTTCCTTCCTTGCTAGCCTATGAGTTCTTACAAAGCAGAAATAGTGTCTGTATTTCTTTGGGTCCTCAGTGCCTAGAACAGGACTTGGCATTCATTCAACTGTCATTTATAGAGTATCTAGTGTGTATAAGGCTAAAGTCCCATTGGGTGAGGTGGAAGAATGGAGAGATTTAAAGAAGAGCAATAATACATTCATGTGCTTGTTTGAGCATTCGTTCAGTCAGTCAGTCATTCAATTAGAGAACTGTCCAATAGCTACTCAATGCCAGCCACTGTGGTAGGATCTGTGGATAATAGAAAAAAATGAGACCTATGCCTTTATTTTTATGGAGCACCCAATCAGCTGACAGGAAGAGAAAACAAGATTTCTGAAGACAGACAAATAAGAATGTGGTAATTTGTTCCACAGAGTCCGAGTCGGGGGGAAAATGTAGTTCTTAAATCTATGTTTGTCAGCTCTTTCTAGCCAAAAAGTTACAGAGAGAAAGTAACCACAGGACTAGATGCAGATGAAGATGTAGATGACAGTGCTCTTCCCAAGAGGAAAAGTCTGTGGAGTTTGCATGAGGAATCATTACCTTGTTGTGTGGCTGCTGATCTTGTCTAGTAAACTTTGAGATGTTAGCCTCCCATCACCCCAGGTGTTTCAGGGGTCAACCTGTCCAAAGACAGCAAGAGTCTGTC